AAATCTTTTAGATTTATCTGAACATATTTATAGACTTACTTAAGCTACTCTAAATTCCTCTTTGTCTCTCGATAGTCATAAAGATACCATTTGAGTACTGTTGTCATCAAAATATAAGGGTCATTTTCTTTTCTACATAGTTCAGAAAATTGTCATTGCTGTGGGCCCCAGAGTCAGATAGAGTCAGTACAAAGCTACACCCTACTATGTCCTCACTCTATGGCCTTGGGCAAGCTTTCAATCTATGTCCCTCTTTTCCTATCTTACAAATGGGGGAAATCATAGCATTTACCTCAAAGAGTTATCTTCAGGATTACATCAGTTAATGTTTGGAGAACATTTAAAATTATGATTTTCACACATGAAATAAGTATGTATTATTATAATACTTATAAATATTATTTCATACTCAAATAAAGTATTACTAATAAATATTATTATTTCCTGTAAGTATTATTTCATAGTCAAATAAAGTTACAGAAATGTATTCTTTTAAGTAAAAGGCACAATATAAGAAGAGTGCTAACAACATGTTAATAGGTCTCATGCCGCAGTGGCCGTTTAGAAGGTAATAGGTCTCATGCCGCAGTGGCCGTTTAGAAGGTAAAGGTGGCTCGCACCTGTAATCCTAACACTTTGGGAGGCCAAGGAGGGAGGATCACTTGAGCCTAGGAGTTCAAGACCAATATGGGCAAAATAGTCAGAAATAATCTCTACAGAAAAAAAAAAAAATTGATTAGCCAGTGTGATGGTGCATGCCTAAAGTCCCAGCTACTCGAGAGGCTGGGGTGGGAAGATCACTTGAGCCTAGGAGTTTGTCACTGCAGTGAGCTATGACGGCACGACTGCACTATGAAAGAGAAAGAAAGAAGAAAGATGAAAGAAGGAAGGAAAGAAAGAAAGAAAGAAAGAAAGAAAGAAAGAAAGAAAGAAAGAGAGAGAGAGAGAGAGAAAAAAGAAAGAAGAAGGGAAGGAAGGAGGGAGGAAGGAAAAGAGGAAGGGAGGGAGGGAAGGGAAGAAAAGGAAAGGAAAGAAAGAAAAAAGAAAAGAGAAAAAATGATGAAGGAGGGAAATAAGTTTCTTTACATAAAGTATGTGACTAAGAATAAAATAAAAATAGGGAAACTTTCTATTGATTATTCTGCTAAGCTGTTAGTTCATGAAGACATCAGAAGGAGGAGAAAGGAAGAAAAGACAGTGATGTTGCCTGGTGAAGGGACAATGAGCATTAATGGCAAAGGTATAATCAAGAAGGAAGACACAACTGGGCTCCTTGTGAACACATGTGCCTTCCCATTACGAAGGCATCAGAAACCACCACCACCGGCTTCCTTAAGAGGATACTATGGAATAAATCACTTGTCTTTGGGATTAGATTTTAATACATGCTGCCTCAGTCGCTAGCCTAGATATTTTTAAAAAAGGCAGAAGAAAAGGATATCAAACATGCACTGTTTCCTAATAAACCAATTTCTGATAAACAATGGCAGTGTTTTAAGTTGGTATGAAGAGGATGATAAAAACAAATTTACAAAGCATTGAGACAATAAAGAGACAAGTGATTCCCTAATTAATAAGACAGCACGGTGTAGAACTACCTGACGGATTCAGTCATCCAGGGCTGAGAGAACTCAGAAGGGATCCACAGCTCCAAATGTTTCCATCCCATATAGGGGACGACTTAAAGATGGGTCTTGCAGAACAACAAAAAAACTATGTAAAGGGTGACAAGTGCTATCATTATAGGGCCAGATCAGAACAATTAATCTCCTTTTAAAAACTGAGATGCTTAAAAGATCTCTCAAGAAGGTGCCACTGAATTGCTCAAAATAAGAGCATAACCCAAGAATCAGAAAGAAAAAAAAAAAAAAAAGCCTGGAAGGAAATGGGGAGAAAAGACTGTTGATCATAGTCCTAGGAAGAGAGTGGGAAGGAAGAGGGTGGCCTCAGAACATTCATTACGGAAGAAATGACTATAGATTAAACACAGTATGAGCTAGACAGATAAATGGATTTAAGTTTGTGTGAATCACAAGACTATTATTATGCCTATTTTATAAGTGTGTACTTTTCTTGCCGTTATACATTACTCTAGTCATTGTAATGAACATTTCACAGTCCAGGAAATGTTTTAAAGCAAGAAATTATATGAAAGCTCAGCCTGTCGAAGGTCATCTTCCTCTCTTCCTTTAATGACTAGAGTATCTTATGTACAGTATCTAAGGCAAAAATAACAACCAGATCAACAGCAGTCTTCCTTATTTTCAAAGAACAAAAAGAAATCAGTACGGACAACATGATGTGGATTCAATTATCACTTGGCAGGTCACGAATAACATTTACACAACCTCCTTTTAAGTTGGAAAGTGTAAAAGCATACCGTGATCATGGCACCAGAGTGCCTTGCTTACAATATGCTGACAGGCAGAGATGTTCCTCTGAAGAGCTAAGCCTTGCTTACAAAGGAGGGAAACAGAACATTGCTCCTTGGGCCACTACTAGGCTCTGCAACAGTCCCTTGTCCCAAGGGTCTTCCTCTCAGAGTATATTCAAAACCAATTTGAAATCTCCCTCTGATTTTCAGAGGTTTTTACATAAGTATGGAGGGGAAGTAAAGAAAAAAAAAAGTTGGTGCAATCATTTTGGAAACAGCTAAATGATAAATATGGTAAAGAAAATGCTATTGAATTGTTAAATATTCTCATAACATCAAGGCAAACGGCATAATTCTATACCTCGTTGGTTACGGCAAGTTGAATATCTTGTTTCAAATCAACAAGAAAAGTCTTAAAGAACAAAAACTATTAATTGGCTACGTAAGAACAACCCAGGGGTAACCCTAGGGAGTATGGTGAGACTAGTGATCAGGCAAGCATGCCACACCAATACACCTTATCTTGGTTTTAATGAATGGACACCTTTCTGGGATGGGGGAACTTCACAAGCACTGAAACATACCCCTTTGTTCTGAAAACTCCAATTATGCCCAACTGTGCAAAGCCAGGTGCATGTGGCTTCTCCGGTTTCATGGCCTGACTAGTGCTCATTCTTGAGGACTCTCTGACAGTTGCTAAGGGGAATGGGCTTCATGCCCCAGAAAACAGAATATGACATGGGAAATATCAGTCAGATTTACTGCTTCATTCCATGTGTCTTGCATATTACTATGATCTGTGCAAGACATTTGTTGTAAATAAGCCTGCAGAGTGTACAGCATGTTTTCCAGGAGACCTTTAAAGAACAGCTTGCAGACAAGAGGTGCTAGCCTTAGTTTCACAGCCAGCAAAACTCCATCCAAGAGGCTGCTGGCATGTCCCCACCTCTTGTTTCGAGCTGGCTTCAAGACAACTTCACCAACCCAATTCCAAGGGTGAGAACCTGGAGTTAGTGACTGTGAAGTATTCCACACGAATAGTAAGTGGAAACTCAGACATTTAGACAACATTTAGAAAAGACCCACTTTTCCCGTAAGAGTGTATCAAAAACAACTGAGAGCTGACTTTGCAATGAGGCATTTGCCGTAGTAAATTAAATGGCTGAAGCCTGTGCTTCTTCCAGCACGAGAAAGCACTGAGCTTCATCATAACCCAGTGTGAACAATCACTGAGGCTGATTTTTAACCTCCCCTGCTTCTTAAAATGCCTGCTCCATTAAAAGGAAAAAAAAAAAAAAAACTTTTCAGGAAATGAAATGCAAATAGGCACAGAACGGGATCATACAACGGAAAGCTTCTATCCACCTCTTTAAAAAAAAAAAAAGAATCTTTCTGGGCAGCCGGACTGCTTTTAACACACCATAAGCTTTTATTTAAAAAGAGACAACATTGGTTCTTTTGTGATCGTTCTCAACCCTTTCCCGTTTTCAGTCTCCCAGCTGGTTGGAATATGTTCTCAAGAGTGAACAGAGCAGAAGGTGAAGTGGTCAGCTCAGCTCCACCTCCCCAAGCAAGTGCACGGTAAATCATTTAACGGTATCACATATTCTAAGCCTCAGGCACACAGAGAAGGAAAAAGGGAGAGAAGGTCTGGAAGGCAAAGCTTCCGATTTTTTTCAAAGGTAAAGCTGTACTTGAGCTGAGTCTGAAACTGCCTCTGATCATCTTCAAAACAAGTCCTTGGGATTTATCTTTAAGTTGATGTTTCCTGTCCTCGCTCAAGGTGGAGCTGAAGCCAGTCGCGAAATTTCCCTCTGCTGGAGTCCAGAGGATCCAAGAAAATTCGGTCTAGGCTTCTAAGTCAGAAAGAAGCAGAGGGTTCCCTGCTGCTCTGTGGGACCCGCGCTTCCTAACCGGAGTAGGCGCCCGGGAAGGAGAGGAGGCGCCTGGTGAGCAGCCTCGGGCCAAGTGCTCATCCCGGCTGGGCACTGCGGGCGCGGTTAAACCGAGATGGTGCACGCTGCTCTCCTGAGCTCCTGCACACTCGCGGCCTCCGCCAAGCCAAGCCCACGGTTGGCTGGGACCTCGGGCTAAGGTCGCCCGAGGGATGCCATGCTTGGCGCAAAGCGAGGGGACATCAGCACGGATGTTCCTCCCCTAAGGGAAAAGATGCCCTCTCTGTTCAAGCCTACCCTGCAGATATTCCAATCACCTGGCCCCGGTCCCCAGGACCTCCCCGACATCGCTATGGGCGCCCACCTATGACCAAGCACGGCTTGAAAGGAAGTGGAGAGGACAGGGGAGAGCCAGACTGAAGTGAAGACAGGGGTACTCCAGTCTGCAGCAACTGGGGAGGGCTTGGAAAATGGAGCAGGTGAGGAGAGTCAAGGAAAAGGGTAGGGGCCCGGGTCACAGCAACCTGTAGGATTGCGGCAGAACGCAAACTTGAGTTGGAAGGCTGTGATCCCCTCGGAGTCCTCCACTCGGCTCCCACCCGGTGGGGCTTGGCGCGCGGAAAGGTGCAGAGCACAACTTGGAAAGCCCACGCCATCGGTGCGGGCCGCGCTCTGTCTGGCTGGCGCCCCTGCGCCCTCACCCCCAGCTGCCCGCTCCGCCCAGCGCTTACCTCGGGCAGCCGCAGCCCCTGCCGCCCAGAAGCACAGCCCCAGCCACGGGAGCCAGCGGGGCGCCCCTCCGCCGCCGCCTCCGGGGGCCGCCGCTCTCCCCATGCTCCTCGCCGCGCTCCGGAGGACAGCTCTACTTCACGCTCCCGGGGCCGGAGAAAGGCTCGGCGATGCAGGGCCGGAGTCGAGTGGGTCCCTGGGGTCTTGAGAGAGTGACTCTGCTCCAAGATCGCTTCCTAAAGCCTCGGGGCAGGGCGCTTGGAGCCACCGCTGGATGGGCACCCAGAGAAAGGGCGCGTCCCCATAGCTTCCCACGGAGCGGCGACCGCTGCCGCCAGCGCCGAAGCTGGAGTCGCCCGCCGTCCCCGCCGCGCAGTTCCCAGCCCTCGCGCAGCTGCCGGGCCCCGGACTACGGAGCGGAGGCGCGAGTCCGCATCGCCAATGAGACCCCCGTGGCCGCCCCTTCCCCTCCCCTCCGAGCAGCAGCCAATGAGCCGGGCCGGGGCGGGGCGGCGGGAGGGGCGGTGGGGCGGTAGCGCGGGGCGGGGGCCCTGGAGGCGCAGGTGAGCCCGAGGCGGCTCCACGTGCCCCCAGGGCCCTTAGGGCCCCGCCTGCAGTCCGGGCTCGCGGAGAAAGGAAGCGGGCCGGGAGCCCAGAGGCGGGGACGTGGCCATGCCGCGGGGAGCTGAGCAGAGCCTGCGGGCCTCTCGGGCTAACAAGGCGCAGATATGTGGGCATCTCGGTTGCCTAACTCAGAGTCACCTGCTTCCAGGAGACCTCGGTTTTGTTCATCTACTCTGAGCCCTTCCAAAGTCCTGCCTCGCCTACTTCCACTCTTTCCCATTAGACATCACTCAGTAAAACATCCTGAGAAAAAGACTTAAAATAAATGCAGAGTGGGAGAAAATAATGGAGTTACTCCATTGCTGCAACTATGCTAACTATGCATGCATATGAATAAAGAAGTGGGGAATTACATTCGTGGGTGCCTTAAGGCTGCTGTGATCAGTTTTTATTTTTGCTTTCTTTTTTTTCGAATTCCCTTTTCTGTTGTCCTGAACACTCCGGAATCCCCAAACTTTTCAGAAGCTCCCTCATTTCTGATGACTCCTGATTTTGTCAGTTTTAATCTGCCCCCGGGGAATTATCATTCCGGTAAGTATCAGGAAAAGAAGTGTCGACTTAAGGAAGAAGTTGAGGCGAAATTAATATAAGTGAGAGTTTATTTGGGCCAAGTTTGAGGATTATAACTCAGGAGTATAGATTTAAGTTGCTTTGAATATATATTTTAATTAGTAGTAGCTATAAGCGGATTTTAAAGGGAAAATGCGGGATGGGGAGTGGACTGATATAAAGTTGTTTGTTAGGAATTTGTACTGGTTTATTAAAATAATATTGATTAGTGATTGGTTATACATAGCTAAGTCATAGGATGTGGCTTATGGTGTTTGATGTGGTATTATCAGGTTAATTTATAGTTATTTGTAGTAATACTATGTAGTTATAAGAAGTGAATATATAGTTTAAAGAAAGGAGTAGGGCAAGATCGTGGTCTCATTCTAATGTCTCTCTGGCCTGACGATTAAAAGGACTTTGAAAGGAAAGAAGATTTTTTTTTCTTTAAGTGTGGTTTGTTTTAAATAGATTATCAAATTTGTATTTAACAGCTTTTTAAAATAACTCACCTCACGGTTGCCTCTTCCCTCTGCTGAAGGAGTAACTTTAGAGAACTTGTCCTAGGTCACTCAATTTCAGAGCACACTCAGGAAGCTGGTGGGGAGTCCCAGACTCCCCATTTGGACCACCGCATTATCACTCCCAGGATTGAAACCTCAAAATGGCAGCATAGCTCACCTTTTGCCTGGTAAACCCCAATAGAAAAGGGAGCCTTGTTTTGAAAGGCAACCTTCCCAGCAGTTCCTCACTGCCCATGCTCAGTATCAAGTACTTTTCCAAAAACCCGAGTCTCCCGCGAAACAGCTACCTGCTCTCAAACACCTTTCTCAGAAGAATAAACAGTTTAAGGTGATGTAATTACTCTGGATAAGGTAATTGCACTAACTCACTTTCTTCTGAGGAAAAGGAGGATGATAGGCAAGAAAGATTGATTCCCTGATAAGCACATGCGCCACCCCTCTCCTGAGTGCCACCGGACACGTGAATATCTGTGCAAGAAGCTGATTGTTTCCTCTGGTTGCCTTGCAGCTCAATAAAAGGTTTGGGATCTAGTCAAGGAAACCAAGCTCTGGGGAATGGATACTTCAAAGCAAAGACTGATGTGAGGCTGGCTAGGGACTTGTCTGGAAATCTCTTTAGAATCTTGGTAAATGAGGGTTTTGTCCTTTTCTGCTCAGAAGGTGAATTCAGAATTAATCTACCAAATATGCTTTACCTGTCTTCTGGAAAATAGTCATTCATTGCCCGACTTTCCTTATTCTTCAGGACTCTGTGGCAGTTCTGTCACAAATTAGGATTTTCTTAAAAAAGGAAAAAAAGTATTACTGTGTGTTCAAGAGAGTATTTAAGTCTTACTACTGACCCACAGGGTGCAAAAGTAAAATCAGTTTTATTTTGAAATGGGATCTCAGGAATAGATAAGCTAATTTTAGGTTAATAATTCAAGTAAAATTGCAATGACAAATAAGAGTAAAGGGGGAAATTAATAACCTCTGAGTGCATACCATGCTCCAGGATTGGGTCTTTCATGAAGATTATTATTTTAAAGCAGAACCAAACTCTGCAAGGTAGCTGTTATTATTCCTACTAAGCAGGTGAGGAAAGTCAGATTGAGTTTGGAAGTGACTTGCCTAAGATCACATTAGTAAGTGGCTGAACATTATAAATGATGCACTAGTTTGTGTAATTCTAAACCCAAGATGAAGGCTGAGAAAGCGTCCATTCAGTCGGGTTTTCCAGAGATAGACTGTCTACCTCATCCTCCTCAGAGCTGTTTAGAAACTAGGTTGACAAAAGTTGGATCTTCAGCATTATACTCACTGTATTAATTGCACATCACATATTAATTATGTTCCAGGTAGTAATATACCCTATATTAATCTAATCTTGACTATTTTTAAACATGTATGAATTGTACTCTATTCCATTATGCAGAAAAAACTATACCCATTTAGAGAAATAAGTTGAGTAGTTGCTGCCTAGGATCACTTTCTCTGGCCAACAAATAGCAGCATGTAGTAGAAGAACTGTCCTCAGCTTCAAGACAGGCAGAGGCTAGTCCCTGACACTACCAGAAACTGGTTAGATAGTCTGGGTCAAGTCAAAATCTCATATTTCCTCTTCTATAAAATGAGAATGTTTGACTAGATGATTTTAAGATCCCTCCCATTTTAGGAGACATCATTTTTAACTCTACCATGTTTAATTTTGAATACCTAAAATGTTCAACTCATGAGGAGTTTGCCCCTTAACCTAATCATCTCCCAAAGGTCTCACCTCCTAATATCATCACATTGGTGATTAGGTTTCAACCTATGAATTTGGGGAAGAAACAAACATTCCAACCATAGCACCAGCCAATATTAATTCAGTGAACAGACTTTGTGAAGTGTTTTTCTCAATGATTTGTAGTTTGAATTGACTACACCCATTTTCTAACACTCTACTCATAAAGGTAAAGATGCAGAAAGTTTCTACTTCCATTGCCATTTGATCATCTCTATCCCAGCAAATTCCAAAAACATAGAAAATGTTTCAGTCAAACTTGGAGGAGAAGAGATAGAGATTGAGCATGGATAAATGAGTCCTTCCACATATAATGATTATTCATTTAAAGCAGTTTATTATAATTCCTTAGGAAGAGCTCTGTGTTTTTCTGGAATACATTGTTTGAAAAACATACATGGTATAAGAGTGTCATAAAACTCCAAGAGATATTAAAGAATGTAGAAACATTCTCTATGAGTAAGGGGGAAGAATTTGTAGTTCTAGGAGATGGAGAAGGCAGAGGGGAGTCAAGGAATTGGTGAAAAGCCAAGCCTGCTAAGATACGGCCTTTCTCCTTGCAGCTGCAAATCATCATTAAGGTTACAAAGGTGATAGAAATCCTTATGAGAAATGGTGAAGGGAATGGACAGGCACATCTCATTTCATGGTGCTTCACTTTATTGGAGTTAGCAGATACTGTGGGTTTTTTGTTTTTTTGTTTTTTTTTAACAAATTGAAGGTTTACAGCAAGGCTACATTGAGAAATTCTATCAGTGTCATTTTTTCCCAGGTGCATGTGCTCACTTCATTTCTCTGTCATGTTTTAGCAGTTCTTCCAGTAATTCAAACTTTTCCATTATTATTACATCTGTTATGGTGATTTGTGATCAGTGAACTTTGCTGTTCTTGTAATTGTTTTGGGACTCCATGAACCATGCTCATATAAGACAGACAACTTGATTTATCAATGCTGTATGCTTTCTGACTGCTCCACTGAGTAGCCATTCCCCATGTGCCTCTTTCTCTCTCCCTTTCTGTCTCTGTCTCCTTAGGCCTCCTAATTCCTTGCTACTCGAAAACATTGAATTAGGTCAATTAATAAAATCAAATGCTAGACACAATTAAAATCACTGAAGAATGCATGTTGAAGCAAAGATAGGTCAAAAGTTAGGCTTCTTGTACCAAACAGCCAACTTGTGAATGCAAAGGGAAAATTATTGAAGGAAATTAAAAGTTCTACTCCAGTGAACCCACAAATGATAAGAAAGCAAAACAGCCTAATTGCTGATATGGAGAAAGTTCGAATAGTCTAAATAGAAGGTCAAACAAATCATGACATTCCCTTAAGCTAAAGCCTAATCCAGAGGAAAGCCCTAACTCTCTTCAATTCTATGAAGTCTGAGAGAGATGAGGAAGCTGCAGGAGAAAAGTGAAGACAGCAGAGGTTGATTCATGAGGCTTAATGAGAGAAGCCGTTTCCATAATATAAAAATGCAAGGTGAAGCCACAGTTGCTGATATAGAAGGTGCAGCAAGTTATCCAGAAGATAAGCTAAGGCTCACTGATGAAGGCAACTACACTGTATAATAGATTTTCAGTGTAGGTAAAACAGCCTTCTATGGGAAGAAGATGCTGTCTAGGACATACATAGCTGGAGAGGAGAAGTCAATACCTGACTTCAAAGCTTCAAAGGACAGGCTGACTTTCTTATTAGGGGGTAATGCCGCTGGTGACTTGAAGTAGAAGCCAATGTTCATTGACCATCCAAAAATCTTAGGGCTCTTAAGAATTATGCTAATCTTTTTCTGCCTGTGCTCTATAAATGGAACAACAAAAGCTGGATAACAGCACATGTTTACAGGATGTTTTTTGTTTGTTTTGTTTTAATTTTTATTTCTTTTTTTGAGACAGAGTCTCACTCTGTCACCCAGGCTGGAATACAGAGATGCAGTCTTGGCTCTGCAAGCTCTGCCTCCAAGCTTAAGGGATTCTTGTGCCTCAGCCTCTGGAGTAGCTGACATTACAGGCACGCACCACTTTACCCAGCTCGTTTTCTGTAG